CAGCATACTCTCCCTGTGATAGATAATCAGAGACTTACCTGATATTGTAGATGTTATGTAGAACTATCAACTTCTTTGCTCTTCATGTCGAAAACAAGGGCATCATTTTGCAGTTTTATTGTGCAAGACACATAGGAATTCTAACATAATAAGAACAAACTTAATTTCTGTCCAATATATATATATATATATATATATATATATATATATATATATATATATATATAAATTGAATGATTATTTTATAACCTTAAATTCATACATGTGTAATCATGACGTAACAGTGAAATAATATTACACCATGTCAAACCACTTATCAAAATCTATACGATCATGTCAATATGTATGTGTTTGTATGCATCAACTTGAAACAGGTGGATATTTTCAACTGATCGTCACCGTCCATTTAAGTGACATTATAATTGTTTGAGAATGTTGTAAGAACATGAATTTATTAAAATATTCAAGTGTGTTTCACTGAATACTTTCTGAGTGAAATTCTGAAGTAATTCAATTATCAAGTTACCATGCTTGAGCTGTTATTAATTTAACATAATGATATCTTCCATCATTCATACGTAGGCATTAACACTAAGGAGCAGCTGGAATATATTTAATTCTGATATTAGATGGTGAAAAGTTTGACAGAAAGCATAGAGCATATGTTTCCATTTTGTTGGAACATATCAGTAAGTTGTACCTATCAATTTTAATCCAAGTAGGATTCTAGACAATATCAGAAATAATATAATCGAAGTTCAGGAAAGGAATAGTAAAATTAGATTTTCAGACATAAAACAAATATCATTATAAATGCGTTCATTATGATATTGTTATAAGAACGGGTATTTCATTTGATAATTTAACGGTCGATCTCTGTATATGTTGCTTATTTCAGATGTAGGATACCAAATGAAAAAAACATTGAAATAGGAGGTAAATTAAAATTCAGATTAATTTAAAACCATATAGAACCAACCAAATAAGTCCTTACACCACGTCAGTATGGGGAATTATCAAGATTAGTTCAAAAGTTAGCGTTTTTTTAGCGAGTTAGTTTTCTACGGGATGGGGTCGCTAACCCCATGCCCAACCCTCCTCCTTTATCCGGGCTTGGGACCGGCAGTAGCCCCGGAGGGACTCCAGACGGAGGCAGGATTACGTAAGGATATATCGTGCACAGACCAAATTACAACTCTACGGATCATTGTGGAACAATCAATTGAATGGAATTCATCACTCTATATCAACTTCATTGACTACGAAAAAGCATTTGATAGCGTGGACAGAACGACCCTATGGAAGCTTCTTCGACACTACGGTGTGCCTCAGAAGATAGTCAATATCATACGTAATTCCTACGACGAATTAAACTGCAAAATCGTTCATGGAGGACAGTTGACAAAGTCGTTCGAGGTAAAGACCGGTGTCAGGCAAGGCTGCCTACTCTCACCTTTTCTATTTCTCCTGGTGATCGACTGGATCATGAAGACGTCAACACCTGAAGGGAAGCACGGGATACAGTGGACAGCTAGGATGCGATTGGATGATCTAGACTTCGCAAATAATCTGGCTATTCTATCGCATACGAAACAACAAATACAGAAGAAAACGACCAGTGTAGCAGCAGCCTCAGCAGCAATAGGTCTCAATATACACAAAGAGAAAAGCAAGATTCTCCGATACAACACAGCATGCACCGATCCAATCACACTTGGCGGAGAAGATTTGGAAGATGTACAAACCTTTACATATTTGGGCAGCATCATCGATGAACACGGTGGATCTGATGCAGATGTGAAGGCGCGGATCGGTAAAGCAAGAGCAGCATATTTGCAACTGAAGAACATCTGGAACTCAAAACAATTGACAACCAACACCAAGGTCAGAATTTTCAATACAAATGTCAAGACAGTTCTACTGTATGGGGCGGAAACCTGGAAAACTACGAAATCCATCGTCCAAAAGATACAGGTGTTTATTAACAGTTGTCTATGCAAAATACTTCGGATCCGTTGACCGGACACTATTAGCAACAACCTACTGTGGGATAGAACAAATCAGATCCCAGTGGAGGAAGAAATCAGGAAGAAGCGCTGGAAGTGGATAGGACACACATTGAGGAAAGCACCGAACTGCGTCACAAGACAAGCCCTCACATGGAATCCTCAAGGTCGAAGGAGGAGAGGAAGACCAAAGAACACATTACGCCGAGAAATGGAGATAGACATCAGAAAAATGAACAAGAACTGGATGGAACTAGAAAAGAAGGTCCAGGACAGAGTGGGTTGGAGAATGCTGGTCGGTGGCCTATGCTCCATTTGGGAGTAACAGGCGTAAGTAAGTAGAAGTATCGATGGCAGAAGAAAACATTACGCATAGACAGTATTATTCGGGAGCAATGAATTTAAGAAATAGCCAAGTGTAACACAATCTTAAAACTCAAAATCAAACGAAAGACAAATAGTGAACGCATCTGCATTCCTGAGAGTGATTTAACTATTGGTTACGAATCCCATCCAGGTAGTATAGACCTAAGTAGATGACTTAGTCCAACTGTCAATGACAATATGCGACATTTTTGTTTAGCAGCCGCTCCTAGCCTTCTTCCAACCTATTCTTGCAAACAGTGAAGTCGAAGTAGGTGATAGAACACGCGATAAATACCTAACCACACCAGCCACCAAATGCCCTGGTACAGCCGAGAGTGAGAAGAACCAGCTCTCCCTTTCCGAACGCTCTCACATGGCCACGTGTATACAGCCAGTGCCAGGGAATTCCTACTCACTGCCTTCTCGAGGCAGGATTGTTTACGGGATTGAGAACACGAAAAGCGAGTGTCCTGAGCTTTAACCGGGTTGGTGGACACGGAGGGTCCACCTAGAGAAGTTGGAAAACACTGATTCCAAAACAATGGTGTACATGGGTTCCAGGATCTTGAGGGAACAAATGGCGTATGGACCTAATGTTGGTCACCGGCTACCAAGAAACGGCATCTCCTGACGTTGTTCCATTGCCTTGTGGATCAGACCTTTAGGTAGAAGGCTCCTGGTGTAGCTCCCTAAGGAAACCACCTGCTTCGGCCTGGGCACCCGGGCAGTATCACAGCATACGCACAAATCAAGTGGCTTGTGTGGCATATGTATTCGGCGCCCCTTTATACCAATATTTGTGTTCAAATAAATAAATATAATAAACTGGTATTCCGCGTCTAACCTCAATACTATTCACTTGATGCTCCTGACACACGCAAGCAGTACTTCGAAGACAATCATCATGAAATACTGGTGTTGAACGAATATGGTCTAAATAATTCAATTTCAGTTAACTTGTATCACTATCATCATAATTTTATTATCAGTGTAATCACTGAACTAATTGTCCAACTAGTTTCACAACTTAGTAAAAACTAGCTTAAAATCAATTATTTCCCGGCAAATCGATCAATTGACCACTAATGACTGAAGGGTAGATTTGTCAAAGCTATAAATTGAAGTAACCCTGAAGATGAACCACTATGAATATCAGATTAAATGGTCGATAGTGGTACTAAGCCATACCAAGCCAGTTGTATTTTATCACCAATCTAGTTAGAAGTTTATCTATCATATGAATAAAAATATGCCCGTTATTAGATTAAATAGATTGTAGAGTTAGATTGCAAATGGAAGGATGCAGCATTACAAATGAGTCTGAAAAAAGGATAGAGTCGTTTATAATCTCTTTACTTATCACGGTTGTACAGATTATTTTCGTTGTAACTTTATTGGAAAACAAAATCTGACCTACAGTGTTATGTTCTTTCTGGTACGGCCGAGAGTGGGGAGAGTACACTCTCCCTCTCGAAATGCTCTCACATGGCCATGCGTATATAGCCTCTGCCAGGGAAGTCCTACTCACTGCCTTCTCGTGGCGGGGGTGTTGTTTACAAAAATGAGAGGACGAAAAGCGAATGTCTGGCGCTTTAACCGGATCCCAAACCAATGATGCACATGGGCTCCAGTATCCTGAAGGAACAAATGGCGTATGAACCAATCGTTGGTCACCGGCTACCATGGGACTGCATCTCCTCACGATGCTCCACTGCCTTGTGGGTTAGACCTTTAGGTCGAAGGCTCGGGGTGTGGCCCCCTAAGAAAACTACCTGCTTCGGTTTGGGCACCCAGGCAGTATCACAGCCCTCACACATATCAAATGAGATTTGTGTGGCGCATGTGTATTTGGTACCTCTTTGTACCAATATCTGTGTTAAAATAAATAAATAATAATATTCATAGGATATAAGTTACACCAGTGAGAAAAGTATATCTCAGTGCTATTACCATTATAGAATGAAGCAAACGTTGCGTTCTTTACGCAATGGTAATTTACGGTATCCTTAATATAAATTAATTGATCCTAAAAATGACACGAATACTTTTTTAAAATATAAAATACCAAACCTCATTCAATACTCAAAGAGTTATCTACTATGGTATAGAGTTATGATTGTTACCACTTATTCAACTTTTATATTCGACCAAATTAAGTTAAAAACGATAGAGTATACACTATTATTAGAACAAATTTATACATCTACTTGATTGAGGATCACTTTCAAGTTTACGGTCGTTGAAAACCTATTCAGAGTGTAATCGTGATAAAAACCTGTTTAGTGAAACTTTTCACTGAGTATTTCAATAAAGATACCATAACCAGTACAACACATACGTATTTTAGTAAAAATCACATAGAGCAAGTTACCTTCAGTGCCTTGAAAATAGACAACACTATTTAATCTGGAAAAACTGGAAACGATACTTACTGGACCAACTCAAACAGATCTTATCGTACACTCGTTTTCCTAAAAGCTACAACAACACTTCATGATACATATATACTAGTATACACCTAACTGTACATGATGAGTTTGCAGTTCCAGTAGAATTTATAAAGGTAACGCAAGTCAAAATATTCCTTACGGAAATTGAGTGGAACAAATTTTTGCAAAGGAAGAAAAATTTGACTGAATAAACGTATTTTATTGACAAACCTCTCTTAGAATCACTACATGGATTTCTCAATCTTAGTGATGATAACTAACAACACGATCAACGTCCAGAATTGCATTCTTTTCATCAATACCATCCATTAGGATAAGACGGTTATAATCAATGAATGATAAATTCCTGAACCAGATTTTCAGATAATTTAATACACTAATTTGCAAAACAAGTAATTTACACATCAATTCGTCAATATTTTACCGCAAGTATCAATTGATAGGAGCACCTGTGTTTTTGTATGGAATAAATATGTGACTAAACCACATTGAGTAGTACACCAAAGAAACAATAATAGCTAAGACGATGTTTTATTTTCGCTGCACATTATATATATGTACATATATATTATTGTTATTATTATTATGAGGAAGACTATCACAGTGTCAAAGGAGTTGAACTAAATACGACACAGACAGCCAAAAGAAAAATACAAATAGACTAAAAGAAAAGAAAAAGCTGTCACAAATGACTAGGATGAACAGATACACAGTGGCTCACACAATGTGTTATTTAAAGGAATTACAAAACTAAGAAATATATTATAAGTACAATTTCACAAAGACAAGCAATTGTGAGGAAAATATAAATTAATGATTACTATTTTGTTTCGTTCAATATGTAATAAGTAAAGACAAAAGTAAGAAGCAACCATATAATTTTGCATACAATTGAACTGACTGAAGTAAAAGTTAGAAGTTCAAGACCTATAGGAAATAAGAGTTATGGCGTTGATACATACGATCAGAATGTAATTGTTAATGATGGAATATATAGTTATTAAAATATTTGAAATTTCTATCAATAAGTAATCATATATTTACAGAAATGAATAATATAGTCAAGTAATATGTATGGATAGCATATAATTAATGTGCGCACATTGTTGATGATACATATATTTACTAAGTAGAACAAAACACATCGGAGAAATATCCATAAGTTTTGAAAGACTTCTTTTTTAGATAGATCATCTAATCCCATTGAATAAGTTCAGTGAAGATGGTTGCATCTAATAAAAATCAATGAATTTAATGTGAGATAGTTTGAAGTTGTGAAACATGCGGTAGCACAAAAGTTAGTCGTACTGAATATATATATATATATAACATATTTGTGCATAAGATTCATTTACGATAAAAATTAACTCATTACATCAACACTAAAATATAAACTGGTGTGATTCCATGAAAATCATAACTGTTTAACATCAAATAAATACCACTGTACTAAGTTTGCTTTCAGCTACTCATATTTAGAGAAACCAGATCATGTAAAATACATCTATTTAACAACAAAGAGTACATTTGATTGTCTATTCATAAGTACTTTTTTAACTGCTGTTTTCAGTCAACCATCTAATGTTATTTAATAATTATAGATCGGTATCCCCAAATATAAGGCTAAAAATCTGCATATTAAGTCAACAAAAATGCTTCATATTTATAATAATTGGTATAGACATGAGTATTATAACGAAATCAAGAGGTAACTTACAACGAAATATAACTATTAAGCAGGTTACTAATTCATTGAAGAATTTCCTAAAGACATGCACCAAATTACACAGTCAATCATAACGTAGAACCTAGTACATATGTATATCGGTTCAAGTTCCTAAACTCCATTAGCACAGTGATTAAATCCCCAGACCAAATCCCAGAATAGTAGAAGTAGTAACAATATCAGTGGTAATAGTAAAAGTTAGACATCGAAGATACGACTCAAGAAGAAAATATAAGTTGGTGAAATAAAAACAAAAAAGTTATGAGAAATTAAGAATCACAGGATTTTGGGAAAACAAACAATGGATGCATCTGAGCCACTGCAAACGATTTTGAGGCGTGAATTTGAATCCCATCCCCGTCGCCAAATTATGTTCGTTAAGCTTGAATGCTACTACTGATTCGGCTTACTCGAACGGAACGAAGGATCAAGGATTCAGAGACTCGATAGGCTATTTTGGTCGGTTGTCCCCGACTCAGCTAACTCGATCAAGAAGTCTTGGTAAGACGTAGAAAGTGTATTCTACAGGCAACCAGCAGATACCAGGTCAATCAGGCACACAAATCAAGTGTATTTATACAAAATATATATAATCGACATTGTCATGGAAATTTTCGACATTTCATCAATAAGTTCGTCAATCGACTGCCATTCAAATATTTAAACATTTAATCGATAAGATTAAATTACAAAATGTGAGTTTGGGGGATCTATCGTCCTCAACACTACTCCCCTTGTTAATAGCGTGCTTTCCTGGGGTCGACCTGCATCTTGACTGTTGCTCGCCGCTGTCGGAGAGGCCACTGTCTGGAACGTGTTTCGGCTTGTTGTTGAGGTTTTTCTTGTGGTAGGGTTGCCGGTAAGCTGAATGTGTCTATCAGGATGTCCAGAGGAATATTTGCTTCGGTTGATGGGCGGTCTGGGGCTAACCGTTTGCATAACTGATTCCAATGGCGTTGCCACCTGTCGCTGCCTACCTCAAGTTCGTACATGACTCGGACAACTCTTCTGATCACTCGCGCTTCCGTCCATGGACCATGGGATGGTCTGTAGTCACGGACAAACACAGGACATCCCACTTCGTACGTGGGTTGCTTTTCAAACTTTGTCCGTTCTGGTGTCGGTGCATTACTTGGATGCATCAGGCTGTGTATCGTCTTCAGTCTTCTTCCCATGAGGATCTCTGCTGGGGACTTTCGCTCATGCAACGTCTCATTTGGTGTTGTTCGGTACACGTATAAGAAGTTTTGCAACGCGTCCGCTGGCGTCCCCTCCCCTTTTGTCTTAACCAAAGCTCTTTTAAACGTATCCACAAACCTTTCTGCTTGCCCATTCGACTGTGGGTGATATGGTGGCGACCGTAAGTGCTTTATGGCTAGCCGTTGACAAAATGACTGGAACTGGCTAGAGGTGAACTGTGAACCGTTGTCAGATACAATGACATCCGGTATACCATTCCGGGAGAAAATTTCTGTGAGGATTTGTATTGTTTTAGTCGTCGTTGGCGGTATTGTAGGGTTGATTTCTGGCCATTTCGAAACGGCGTCGACTACAACTAGATACATGGTTCCGTCAATCGGGCCCGCAAAGTCGACGTGTATCCTGGACCAAGGATGATCAGGTTGTGGCCATAAAACTGGTGGAACTTCGGCGTTGACTTTTGCCGCTTGCTGACACCGCATATATTTTCCAACCAATTCTGTTATATGTTGATCCATTAGCGGTCAATATGCATGGCTATGGATTTCATTCGTCTAACACCCGGATGACCAAGGTAGAACTGTTTCAGCACTTTTGCACGAAGGGATTCTGGCACAACCACTCTTTCTCCGAACATCAAGCAGTCGTTTACAATGCATAGCGAATCCCGCCACTGATACAGCTGTTTTATGTCACCATCAAACTTCTTAGACGGCCAACCGTTGGTGACATAGCTCATAGTCATCTTGATGATGGGGTCGCTCTTAGAAGCATTTTGTATGTCGGTTGCAGATACCGGAAAAGCTCGTTTTGCGTTCATCAGATAAAATTCGGCGTGATCTTCCGCTAGCAGAGATGCAATTACCGTGTTTTCCTCAGCCGCTAACCGGTCACTGATGAGTCGTGATAAGGCATCCGCCTGACCGAATTGTTGAGTGCGTCGGTACTGGATCTCGAAATCATACCCCAAGAGTGCTAAGGCCCATCTCTGAAGACGATTTGCAGAATGAGCTGGAATGCCAGATTTCGACCCGAATATTGCGAGTAAAGGCTTGTGATCTGTGAGAAGCGTGAATCTCCGACCGCACAGGAACTTGTGGAAACGGCGCACAGCAAACACAAGCACAAGAGCTTCTTTTTCTATCTGGCTGTGTTTTTTTCTGCTGGGGTTAGTGTGAGGGATGCATGCATAACGGCTTTTTCCGACGCATCCGGAAACTGATGTGAGATAACAGCGCCTAGGCCATACGCTGAAGCGTCTGCAGCTACGATGATCGGCACGGCTGGATCGTAGTGTGTCAACAGCAATTCCGAACAAATAATGGACTTCAATTTACAAAATGCCGCGTCACACTGTTTAGTCCAGCTCGAAGAGCTGTTGTTCTGCAGTAAGCTATTCAATGGAGCGCGAATATCATGCATCGATGGAACGAACTCTGAGTAGTAGCTGACAAGTCCCAGGAAGGAACGTAGTGTTGAGACATTGGTGGGAGCGGGCATCAGTTTGATGGCTCGGATATTCTCAGAATCCGGTCTGCAGCCGTCGGAATCGAAAATGAACCCCAAGTACTTTACCGACTGTAAATAAAACTGGCATTTCTCTGAGCGTAACCAAAACCCGTTGTTACTGATGCGTTGCAGTACCAATGTTGTGCCCCTAGCTTTCTTACAACCTACTCCTGAACCGGAAAACATCACCCGTCGAAGTTGACAGCGGTTGGACATAAGTAAAACATGTCCCAAACACCTCAGACGATGAAGATTTACGGCCTCATCAATCAATTTCTCATCCTCACGTAGAACTTTATTCCTAACCCAGACGTTGATTACTTACTGGTCCCAAAATACATAAGCAATGCTTCAAAGACACCTATAAACGAATATTAGTGACCTACGAATATCCTTTATTGTTAAGAATCTCAGGGATTAGTCCGTTAAGCCCTGCTGCCCTTCCTCGCTTTAGATTACTTATAGTCTTGTCAACCCCACTGAGTTGGAGCCTACTGATAAACTTATGTGATAATTAAAAAGAAGATTAACTCGACGGCTTTTGTGTGTGAATTGACGTTGTTCCGTTTGATAGTGGCAGTATACAACTAAAAACTAATTTAGCTAGGGAAATTAGTGATTAGGATACTAGTAAAAAATTCATCCCAGAGAGATGAGTAATATCTGCATGTTCTGTAAGTGAACTGTAGGAAAATTATCATAACTATTTGGAATAATATTGGTTAACCACAGATAAAAACATTTCATATTCAAATATCTGAAGACATCAAAAACTAGAGGATCAGATCAATCAATCATACAAAGTCGAAATAAAAACAACGACATAAACAACACTTAGTACACTAACTTTTGGAGTTTTGGCTTTAGTAAATATATTCCAGAAGCGAAGTGTTTCATCTCCTGCACCAGTTACTATGTTCTCACCATCTGGACTGATTGCTAAGTACAGCACACGATATGAATGCCCAACCAATTTGACTAACTGTGTTAGACTAGGATATCTCCAAACAAGAATTTGATTCTGTGAGTAACCATGTGTACTGACCAATTCGTTACTATGTATGGACCAGGCAATATTACAAACCTAGCCAAAATGTAAACCAGTCAACAATATAGACACCTAGTTTTTGTTGAGTACGCGGTTATAAAGTAACAATTTTTACTCATATAAATTTACATAATACAATTTATTTAAAGCATTAAGAAAAGATACTTGTTCTTTTTATTTGAGATTCTTACAAGTGAAAGTCTCACAAAAAATAAGCTGTTTATGCAACCCAGATAGTACATTTTGAAACATGTTTCTCCAAGTGTCAGGATAAATAGTGAAGTTCTAAACTACTTTCCACTAGAAAGTCCTAAAGACAATTAAGTAATACGGTATAGGGCATGTAAGATCGTTTTCATTATTTATTCAATGTAGATTTTAGTGTAGCTCATTTTCAGGCTTCTGTATTCATCTTTTTGCTAGTTTTTGTTTGATAGCTAGTGGCAATAGCCAGCTGTCAACATATAGTATTGAGTGGAACAACGTCCGACGAACTTCTGACCAAACGGTAGTATAAACAATATATTCTATATAGTCAATTTCTTTAAATAAAATGCCACATTACAATCCAAACTAGCCGATCGACAAGGAAGAAATAACTGAAATCTATCGATCTATATACACGTTCTGAAACTGAAGTGATGTTTGCACAAACAATCTGCTTAACTCTTACGAAAATAAACACGAATTCAACTACTGACATACTTCAAATGTGTTTACATTTAGATTATACGTGTATAAATACTATTTGAAACAGTCACCTATATTTGACAAACCGTAAAACATTTGTCAAAAATATGAAAACCATCCACTTAACACTTGTATGTACAATCAAAACCAAAAACGCGTACATCGACCTACTAGATAACAACTATAATAAGGTTTTTTTGTAACTATAGCGTTGAAGATTACACAGAAATATAATATTCATGATATTTGCATGAAAAAAAAACACCTACATGAATGTTAAATGAAATAACAATCTATTCTTCAACATTAATAAGCTAATTTCCAATTTACTTTCTGATTTATTATTATTATCAAAATAATCATTTTCTTCTTTTATAAACTAAGATTATTAAATAATACATCGTTAGCATAGATCACTTACCTGACTTCCAGTATCAACGCTACGTAAAGCCTGACCAGTTAATGTATTCCAAAATCGAATACAACGATCAGCTGTACCACCTCCACTTGCGAGTAACCCATGTTGATGAGGAGACCATGCAATTGCTTTGACAGCGGCCACATGCTCTTCGTAAGTTAAGACAGGGCCACCAGTAGATGGTGCATGTTGACTCCAAACGAGTAGACGATTGTCATTACCTCCTGATGCTAAATACTGGCTGTCCGGAGACCATTTTAACCCACACACCTATTAATTCCAACAATATATATCAATGCTAAAGAATTTATTTTGCAAAAATAGAATATGCTAACAATGAATGACCAAATAAAACTTGAGATGTTTTTAGATTATGTGAATAAATTAAAACTTGTAGTCACTTCATGATAGGACATGAAACTTGTTAATAAGATAGTAAATTTTGACGTAGGTTTGTAACGCAGAAAATGGTGATAAAATCTCAATTAAATTTCAAAATATAAATGAGCAATCAGAAATTTTACTTTAAAGAAAAACATCACACAAACCTCTTGTCTATGATCCTTTAGCACACGTACTGCTCCAGGAACAAGACGATCTGTCCCATTTTCGATCGACTGTAAAGCAGTAGTCTGGGTGACAGTGGAATTTGCTGACGTCCTTGCGGCAGACCATGATGAAGCATGATCCGTATCTCGAAACCCAAGCATGTCTATATCCATTTGAGCTGGTGTACTTGGAGGATCAACTTCTGGAAGGTCACTACTGATCGATACCATAGGTGTTGAAGCCCGTGGATAGTTTGGATCACTTTCTACTTGATCAATGTGACTCGGTGAACTAATGGAATTGAAATCAGTCATAATCTCATCTCTATCAGCAAGTTCAGCAGTTAATACAGAAGTATTAGAGGGATTCGTGGTAGGAAGATGACCAGTGGGTCCACCACCAGAATTAGCTGAAGCACGTGTATCACGTAACAGAATATAACGGTCTCTGCTGCCAGATGCCAAAAGATCAGCATTCCACGCCAAAGCACCGACACGAGCGATATGTCCGTTTAGTGAGCGTATGCAGGAAGTTTTAGTTACATCCCATATTTGAACATGACCACGGTAAGTGCCGATCGCTAAATGACTACCCTAAAAAACAAGAGGAAGGTAGTACTTAAAGCGACTTAACATTAATCGATTTAAAGAAAAATTTATGAGAAATGAATTATCATTATACAGCCTTAATAATAATTATACTGTTTCGAATGTATTATCTGTTGTGTATATGCATTTCCCGACCGTTTTTGCTACCTTGACGTGGTGGTCAGGCTCGCTTATCGTGATGAAGCAACGAGCTATACTGGCTGGAACAACCGTTCCTCAAGGTCCTACCATGTCAGACAGGTCGGTTGAAGAGCGGTAAGACTAAAAGCAACAAATCCAAGGTCCGAAGTCGTACTGCTGACTGTACAGAGGTGTGGGAGCAGTAAGGTGTTTTCCTTCAGACAGCGATGCTGCCTTCCCACAAGGAGGGGTGGGGTTAGAAACAGCTGTTCCTTGGGTACTGAGGTCACTCTCTCAAGTCACTATGACCACCTCTAATCCAGCTTCCTTTTCAGGTACCTCCAGAAGAACTCTTCCACAGTGTGGGCAACCGGGAAGTGATAACCGCCCTCATACCTCTAACAGCACTCAAAACCACTGTATTCATAATCAACCTCACTGACTGACTGTAATATGCATTTACATAGTAAGACTATATATGTGAGTAGGTGTCTGTCCAGTTATTTTCTTACATGCATGACGTATTAACAGTGACACTTTAACTATAAGTGCACGGAACAGTGAACATATGCTAATTAACGCATATTCCTTTAAATTAGGTCGAATGCATTGTCTCATTAATAGAAAAACAGCAGAAAATAGAAAACTCCCCATAGTTAGTAATTAAAAAAAATTTAGTCATTAAATTTGTCACCCAGTTTTAAAGTAACAAAACTGTAGCTCATGTAGTAATGCAGTGAAGCGATTCAAGCAAGTGAGAGGGTTATATGGTGAAAGTTCCTTTTAGTAAACGCCGTGGTAGTAAGTTATATTTTGTGACCCAACTAAATAACTTAGAGTTAACTAAAAGAAATCACGAAAAATTAGTATGAGTAAGATTGGAGTTAGTCTAGAAATTACTTCGAACAGATAACAACCCACCAATTAAATAACACAACTCCAAACCAGTCTTTTTATAAACGGCCCGGGAATCAAGTATATGGCTAAATAGAATGGAAATTTCTAACGCGAACAAATATTACTAAAAAATCAAGGGAGCAATGTGAGAAGTTCTCATTGGAGTTTCATTACATAAATTGCCAGCTTCATTAAAAAAAAACTATATTTCGGTTACTACCTTTTCATGCATTAATTAGTTCGGAAAGTTACCCAGTAAAAATAGGTTTATTGTATAGCAAACTGAATGGATACAAGAGCAATTTTTTCGTCAAATTACACGGCTAAATAAGTACAAACATCCTATAACTGGCACAACATATGAGTAATGTAATAAATGATTACAAATATTAGTTTTATCGATATACCTTTTTGGACCACGCAACAGATGAAATAACATCGGTTTCTCCAGAAACATCACACAAACGAGTGACCTAGAAAGTTAAGAATTAGCATATTTATTGCACTTAAAAAGTTAGACAAAGCTTGCTTAAAATAAGAGTAGACAAACGACATGACTATCTTACCTGGCTAGTGAAAGCATTCCACAAGTAAACACATGTTCCCAACCCAACTGCCAGTACATTTTGAGAAGACCAATCAACAAGATTAAGGTAAAAATCATCTTGTAGCTCGGGAGCATCTAGAACTTTATACGGTACCCGAGATATTTTACGCGCTTGCTGTAACAAAAGTTATAAAAAACAAAACATAACCGTTACTGACAAGTTTACTATTTAGCCTATCCCAAGGTTGGTAGCTATAACAGAAAATAGACTGATTATAATAATAGCAAAAGTAAAGACCCTTCTTGGCGCGAATTACATAATTACATTTTTAAAACATACTCCACCTGCTTACTTTTTGTGGGAACTTTAGCAAATGCTGACTTTTTTCAGATACCGGAGACATGGTATAGGGAGATGTTTTCAGTTTACATGGACTCTCTCTTCTAAGCTTGAACTGTTAAATACCAAGGATTAAAAAATATGAGGAAATGAACACATAAGTACATGATTACTTAATGACAGTAAACGAGAAAATTAAATTTTACGAAAATGAACAGAAATGTATGAACTTTGCATAGAATTGGGAGAAATGTTTTGGAAGGTTACCTGAAATCACTAAACCACTGTTTGAGATAATGGAGTAAAGAAAAAATAATAAAATGTTTCCAGAGTCAGTATAACGACAAGCAATTATCAGATTTGGTGGCCGCCAATGTAAATCAGCTGACGGTCACCAGGACTTTCGTTGCTTTTATAATCCTGACATGAGTCATGAAGTGCAAAACTGAGAGCAAGTCTATCACCTTGTTTTACTGGTTCACAGTGCTTTTTTATTGTACTATATGGCTTTGAGACTATTACTATCTAGCACCAGATGATGCTAAGAACACAATTTGCAACCATAAATTTTCTCATCAGAAAAACTAGTTTAAGAGAAACAAGCTAATCAAGAGAGACACAAGATTAAGATACGAGTGCGTGGTACAAGTAGCATTTGGCGTGAGGAATAACAACAATCAAAACGAATATAACTGGATGACAAAACAGTAATGAATAGTTAAACGCAAACTATGTATGAAACATTTTAAATGCCAATTTAGTCTACTTTTCGACTACTGCAAGAGATGCTAATGTGAGCTAATAAAATTATCTAGCAACTAAATAACCAATTATGAATTATGTGACGACCAAGAATCTGATTCGGTTACCGAATAGGGTGAACTAACAAGTCTTTGTTGTGTTTGTAATGGGAAATAAAACGTTCAGTGACGTCAAACATAATAACAAGCAAAGCTGTTTTAAGATATTTTGTATTTATTTAGTATAGATCGAGCGGGTCGTTTAGACTACAAAAATACCGGACAGGTAAATTCATCCTATACTCGGGGTTAGACTAGGAAATAATGTGGAACTATGTACGAAAATGTGTTTTGCTTGACAAATTACCGTAACCTGATTACCTAGTGTCCAAGACCAAGTTACATTTTATTTTAACTCATACGTTGTAAAGACAAAACATAATGAGAACGAATCAAGGCATGTTGAACTAATATTTCTGAAAAATGGGACTCTGGAAGGTAAGGGTTGGCTTGCAAACAGACACCGGACGGATACACATTTTACTAGGGTCTGAATGGTTGTTATTTACAAAAACCACGTGTTACTTATTCAGCATATATAATTACTAGGTCAGAGACCAGGTGTTGCTTTCTTAAGCGGCACCACAATTAACCTGACAAATGAGACGCCAATTATGTAAAATTCAGAAAGCTAAGACGATACAGAACACACGGCACGAAGGCCTAGATATCCGCAACCTGGAGAATACTCGCTAAAGTCTAGGTCTGGATTATTAATTAGGAAATTATTCAGTGGTATAAGCATGGTAATTCTTACAGATTTTATTCCCTTTACGGAACATGCCTCTAGTAAATGTTGAGTGGGTAGTAAATCATGACCTCACAAGATAGGTGCATCAACGTGATTTTTATTTATTTTTATTTTAACACATAAGTATAGGTACAGGGAGGCACCAAATACATATGCGCCACACAAATCTCAATTGATTTGTGTGGGGGCTGTGATACTGCCCGGGTGCCCAAACCGAAACAGGTGGTTTTCTTAGGGGGCCACACCCCGAGCCTTTGACCTGAAGATCTGATCCACAAGGCAGTGGAGCATCGTAAGGAGATGCAGTCCCATGGTAGCCGGTGACCAACGATTGGTTCATACGCCATTTTTTCCCGCAGGATACTGGAGCCCATGTGCACCATTGGTTTGGGGTCCGGTTAAAGCGCCAGACATTCGCTTTTCGTCCTCTCATTTTCGTAGACAACACCCCCGCCACGTGAAGGCAGTTTGTAGGACTTCCCTGGCAGGGGCTATGTACGCGTGGCCATATGAGAGCATTTCGAGAGGGAGAGTGGACTCTCCCCACTCTCGGCCGTACCAAGGCATTTGGGGTGCATCAACGTGAATCACTTATCCATTTTGCGAAGTCCACAATGTTGATATTACGGCTACTGACTTGTTATACAAACAACCGATTAATGATGAACTTTAGGAATCAAAGCGGCTATATTAATTGCTGGATTTAGAAATTGAGAATAGCACTAGCTCATGTAGGTGCTAGCCAATATGTTAATGCGATTTATGGAAAATAAAGACAACTAAGCATACTGTTACTTGAACTTACGGAAAACATATTGTTGTTTTCTCTAGCTGCCAGAACGCCGGAATTGCCGAAACTGCATCTTGAATTCACAGGGCTATAAGCCCCACCTAATGAAGCTTCCTCAAGTTCATTGGCTACAAGAGCAGAGAGAAGGTCACAGCCTCTCGCTTCTGTGGGTGGTGCAGGCTCCTGCACGGCCGAATTGATACCAGATGTTCCCCAGTTACTTTCTCCAGTAAAAGATGCGAGACCGTGACTTTGATAGCCATTCTGATTAGGAGAATCAACATCATTACTGAGCCCATCAGTATTTCCGCGACTAGCTTGAAACAGCTTACGTGTTGGATTACTATTTGTTTGCTACACACCAATGAATAAAACCATAAACAAACTAACCTCGAAAGATGTCGACGTTTTCCAACGTGCATTTGCTCTTAGTGGGATGTATCGGTCCATGTAATTTTCCTTCGTTGGAGTTTTCATGGGGCTAACTGTTTTAATGGGCTATGGAAGTAAAGACGTATAAAAAGCACATACCGATTTATAAGGAGACCCTAACAGACGTTTTTCATATCCCTGCTCCATTCTAGACAAAACCGACTATTCCGTGGGGAGCGCCTAAAAGGGAAGTGATTGAAACAAGCGTCAATTACCAATCTGTAAGCAAAGAAAATTTGAAGGTTTTCAATGTCTGTTTTACGTACCATAATAATTCCCCACTTCTCACATGTTTTAAACTCCTATTTAAACATAACTAAATTTCTAAATCCATGCCAATGCAGTTGTTGTCTTCAAATGACACAAATGGTTCTGGACGGAATAGAAACTCACTTGATGGGTTTCCGTATCTAGTAGCAGTGGGTCACTGATGTCTCCAAGTGGGAAACAAGGCATACTAACGACGAAGGAGGCCAAAAGAACTAATAAATCATAATGAGTGTCCTTAGTTCTTAAGATTATGTCAAGTCTTCTCCTAGATGATTCCTGGGAAGCCGATTGGACCAACTTAGCCGGCAGCAGATTCCAGAATTTCATTACTCTTAAGAAGTAGAAGGCGTGTCTACAGTCCGTTCTGCTGTGTTGAGTTCCCAGTTTCTGGTTGTTACCCATAAGGTTTGTGTTGGGACTAGGCTTAGATTGATGATTAAGGATGCTGTAAGACGCCTGTACTCTGATCGGTAAATGTTCAGTGACTGGAAGCGCTCCATATACGACTTGAATTTGAGTCCCTGAACTGATTTCGTGGCTCGCCGTTAGATACGCGCCAGTGTTTATATCTTTCTGGAGGGAATATTATGTTTCTATACTCTAAGCGGAGTTGTATAAAACCTTTGAAGATTATGTGGAGAGTTTTTCTGTCGAACTGGTCGGAAATGCGCTTCTAAGTTACCAGTGCAAGGTTTGTTTGAAAAGCATTTTTGTTACAGTTAGTGTAAGACTTCGGATCATAGGATACCAATGCTCCTAAATCTATTTCAACTTGGGATACCTCTAGAGTGGAGCTAATTAAGTTGTATTCGTGGTCTACAATATGTCTCGGACTACTTTACACTTTGAAGTGTTGAAGGTGAGTCCGTTGTTGTCTACCCAACTTTGAAGTCTAGTCACATCATCCTGAAATGCTATTTTATCCTCTTGTTTGCATACTTTTCTCCAGAGTTTCACATCATCAGAGAAAAGTAATAAATCCTATGACACATTCTGTGGAAGAATGTCTACATAAATGAAAAGAACAGGTCCTAGTAATGAGCTTTGAGGGACTCCACTGAGATATTCCATATCCTGAAATTGAAGTTAACGATAACCTTAAGTTGTCGGTAAGGAATTCCTCGTTTGTAAATATGCAGTCTGGGCGTGACGGTACATGACCATTTCTCTTCCAAGTTGCTAACTTCACAATTTGGAATAATCATGAATCTTCAATGACGTTGAAGAACCGAGCTTCAGTAAGGTTATCACCTCCAATGTACGTGTGGTCTGCAAAGTTCGATTTAGAAAGTTTGAAGTCACCAAGAATCAGGATGTGAGTGTTTCCGAGACGAATAGAATGGGATAATCCCTCTAGCATACTATTGTCAAACTCAATGTCAGCAGTAGGCTTCCTGTAGGTGATTCTAACTAGTCACCTTATTGTTAAACAATCTTACTGAGCACCATACAGGTTTATCAAGATTGACAAACCCTTGGTTATGCACTTGATGTACCTCCAAGCAAGATCTCAGGTGCAAGGTTCCTACGCCCCCATTCCCGCTTTTCTGTCGTTGAGATACAAAGACATCCCTGGTATTACCAGCTGCTGATCCGTAATTTGAGATTTTTCTATCAGATGAGTATTATTAACGTTACTGAATTTACGCAGCCCAGCCATTTTGTTTCGTGAACTCGCAGCGTTCTTGTATAAGCAGTTATGCTTTCAATTTGAAACACGTAAGGATCCCCGTCCTGTTTATCTGTATGAGCCCTGTGTGAATTGACAGTTAACCTACCTACAAAATGCTTTCCGAGTCGGCAGCCCCCATCTTTTCCACGTTTTTTTCATAGTCTTGACAGTCCACGAGTGATGTGGTCAGCTCCAGTTCGCTTTTGTGCTGGAACCCGGCACCATGTAGCCTATCCAGATGCATGTGGATTTCGGTTGGAAACCGACGTCTGTTGGCACGGAATGTTTTGAGAGCGGCAGCCGCCATATTGATGGGTGGGGAGGTCATTTTCATCAGCCGGGATCTAGAATCCCTGTCCCTCTTGGCTGGTCTCGCCACTTGTTGAGTCAGCATGTTTTCGAACTCCAAGAACTGTGTGGTAAATTCTCACTCCAGAATATCAGAGTCTGAGTTATCGAGAACGTATTTTCTGACACATCTTGCACAATGATATTTCCTCCGCAAATAACGGCTCGTGAGATTCTTTAGGAATATCCCTGATGAAATTGCGCCCAGAATATGGTATATCAGGCAACATTCTTCCATTCCCACCTGATTTCCTTAGGTGACTAGCCAGCGGAACACCCCCTACGTCGGCAGTGTTACTGAACTTTATACACGGTTTAGAATGATTTCGGTGCTTGGATTCCTTCTCCAGAGTTAGCTGTGTAACCGACAGTGGCTCTATTTTGAAGAGATTGAGCTTCTCCCTTAGTTCTTCTCAAAACATCCTCTCATTTTTAGCCTGCAGATAGAGAGGAAGCTCAGAGCTGTCTTTTAGGTCCATAATTATTAGAGAATCATCGAAAACCGTGATCATCTTTCTAGGTTTTCGATTACGTTCAGGTTGTGGTCCTTTTTGTTCGGTAGTTAAAATGCGTTCCGGAATCCAGTGCTCCTTGCTGAGTATTTAGATAATCATAGGGGTAGATTGTACAGTCAAACCACTAGTTAATTTCACTACAAGACCTGGGACGTTCCAGTACCTCTGTTAGTGTTAACATGTAATTAGCAATGGGCGTTTGATGCCTGAACCATTCCCAGTCGGCCTTGCAAGTTTTATTTGGTATAGATGAGGTGATTAGACAAATCAAGGGTGAGAAAGTAGCGAGGTCTGATAATGTATCACCTGAAGCTCTGAAGTTAGATATAGAAGTAACTGCAAACATGCTCCTCATTCTATTGAGACAGATTTGTCACCATCAGACTGGAAAGACAGACTTTTCATCAAGATACCAAAAAATGGTGATCTGAGCAAAAGTGAGTACCACAGAGACATCACACTGCTGTCAGTACCAGGAAATGTTTTCAACAGATTGTTGCTGAACCAGATGAAAGATTCAGTAGATGCCCGACATCTAAATCAACAGACCGGATTTTGTAATGATTGATCGTGCACAGACCGAATCGCGACACTACGGATCATCGTTGAGCAATCAACTGAATTGAATTCGTCACTATACATAAACTCCCTTGACTATGAGAAGGCGTTTGACAATATGGATAGGAGAACATTATGGAAACTTGTTCGACATTATTATGTACCTGAGAGAAGCAACACGGAATACAATGAACAACTCAGAATCAATTAGAAAATTTGGATTTATTAAAAAACCTAGCCTTCGTACTCCGTACACACGAACAAATTCAGATAAAGATAAACAGCGTGACAATAGCCTGTGTAACAGTAGGCCTCAACATACACAAGAGAAAGAGCATGATACTCAGATACAACACGAAGAATACCCGTCCATTCACGCTTGGTGAAGAAACCCGTAAGATGTGGAATATTTGACGTACCTGGTCAACAGCATCATCGATGAACAAGGAGGATCTGGTGCAGGCTTCAAGGCAAGGATTAGCAAAGCGAGGAACGCATTCCGACATTTGAAGAACATATGCAACTCAAAACAATCGTTGACCAATATCAAAGTGAGAATCTCCAACACGAACATCAAGATAGTCCTACTGTACTGAACTGAAACTTTGAGGTGTCTATAAACAGTTGTCTGCGTTGACCAGAAACCATCAGCAACAACCTACTATGGCAGAAAACAAACCAGCTTCCGAATGAAGAGGAAATTAGTGGAAGACGCTGGAGGTGGCTCGGACATACATTAAAGAAATCACCAGACCGCATCACGAGGTGAGCGCTAACGTGAAATCCTGAAAGGAAACGCAAAATTGGAAAAAGACACGAGAGGAGGCAATAGCAACTGGAAGGCACTAGAAAGATTGCTCAGAACAGGGTTGGATGGAGAATGCTGATGGTCGGTCCATGCTTCTCCGTGTGGAGTAACAAGCGTAAGTAAGTTCCCGAAGCGGACTAAACACCTTCCCGAGCTGGGTAAATGTATATTCAGGAATTTATCAGATACCTCAACAGTTTTTTCTTGCTCTATAATCTAGGTGCCTCATGGTTTGTATCTCCTATAGATAATTTTTTGGGACTGATCCCGTAGCTATCAAGCACAGAGTCGTGGTTGGGTAACAAACGTTTTACATACCAAACAGCCAATAAGTGATACAGTAGGTCAATCAATGAAAACCTGGTTATGTTGAAAGAATATAATCGTTTGGTTTATGGATAAAAACTGGTTTTTAACCTCATCTATCACTAACACTAATGACTAGCTTGAGTATCTCATTACGTTTAATTCCATTAGTACATTAACCATTATTTGTTATCTTAACACTACTAGTGTGTAAGAAATTATGTAGATCATCCCCAAAATAAATGGTTCTGTAGGTCTTCGATACTGATACTGACCTCGTTAGTTTCATTGGACACACCCTGGCTGAATGCACTCGGTAGAGCACTTTCTCAAGATCACGAGTAGATACGCCATGCTACGCACCCCTCGCAAAAATTGGCTAACTTATATCATACACTTTTTACAATCTCAAGAACTTTCCAGATATATCTTCGAACTCCCACATTTCTGCTTCCTGATTCGACTGGGCTAAATTTTTTGGTGAAAAAAGTGTGATGGACTAAAGCATTGTTGTACCCTGACTATTCGTCACATATTTAACTCTTGTAACTTTTAAATAAAGCAGTTTGCAATGAGGGGTAACTGTTGAGGTTAGCTTAGACACGTGCAATCGCCAAGTTTAAATACAAAAGAAAGATAAGATAGATGATGGTTTCAAATTTTGTTCTAAATTTCATTGTGCACTGCGACCTTAAATGATATTACTAACAAGTTAT